GAAAACTGATTTTATAAGTTTACATGTTTCAATAAAAGTTTTAAATTTTCCGCTATTTTTACAGTGGGTCGCTCCGGTGGCCCTAATGTGACTTTCCGGATCGGATCGGGCTACCCTTATCGGTCTGTGGGGTTACAGTTTTGCCATGGAAGACGACAAAACTCCATCTTTTGTCCTAAAAGGTAGCTAAAGGTGATCAATTCTTAATGAATTGAACATGGTGTTGGACATCTGTCCTAATCAAGGACACTTTGTTGTAGGGTTTCTCACTAGTTATATACTATGTCATTGCAATTTTGAAAGAAAAAAAAGTTGATTTGAAATAAGATTTTAGACACTTAAATTTCATTCAAGTCGAGAGATGGAATTCTTGAATCTTTAGAGACAGACAGACAAACATGCTTAAGTTGGAAAATTACGACAAAAAGTAGGGAATTATAAACGTATATATATGTGTGTTCTTCTACAATGGCGCAAGACATGACTCAAGATGTGGTTTTTGTCTGAAAGTTTGTTAAAGATATAAAGAAATTTTCTAATCTTGTTTGTTCCATAATTTACAGACCCACTAAGCTTGCCTCTTCCAACTTGGAAATGAAATCTAAAAGTACAATTTAGATTATGAAATTTAAACTATAAATTTATTATTTCGTCTCATTTAAATTATATATCCGTTCATTATTTAATTATTTTTTATTATTTAACATATAATACATGTTAATTACTTTAATATTGTATTTCGATGATAGTATCGTATCATAATTAAAATTATTTAGGAGTTGTTTGTTTACTTCAGAATGATTAAGCGCTGAATGATTCAAATGCTGAATGATTCAGATGTTCTATATGAATTAGCTCTGAATGTGACATGTTGTTTGATAATGACTATGAATCATTCAGAATGTACTTTGATGTTGAATCATTCAGCACTGTTTTGTTGAATCAATCAACACTGAATCATTCAGAGATGAAAAACAAACAATCTAAATGTTGAACGGTTCATCATTTAACGCTGAATGATTATATTCAAAACCAAACAAGCAACCCAATCTTGAATTTCAGGCTTTTCTTAAATAAAGATACCCATTTATTTACTTATTTTTAAGTTTCTAGAGAGAAAACGGGGTTGCTTTTATTTTTTAGGATAAACAATACTAGTTGTCCTTTATATTTTTAATATATTTGATTTTGGTCACTGGTTTTGAAAAATATTGGTTTTGGTCACTTTTGATTTTGGTTCGTCTTAAAATTTTGGATAAAATAAGAGACTTAAAAATAGCCCAATGAGAAAAATAGGACAGACTGAAAATAAAAGTGATTAAAACCAAAATTTTCCAAAACTTGTAACCAAAATCAAACAGACCCAAAAATATAAGGGATCATCATTGTTGTTTACCATTTTATAGTACATCATTGCCTCTTATAAGTTGGCCAATGGAGCCTACTTGTGATTGGGCCGGAAGCCGAAAGATCAAAGCATATCGGCATGGTGTTTTGGGTCCCTCAATAGGCTCTATGTGGGCCCTTTTATATCGAACAAAAAATGAAAAATAAAATGCTAGTAAAATTGTTAAGACTGAACCCCCCAGCTTGGGATCCGAACCATATGTTTAAACATTGTCGACCGTTGGTTGGAGGGAAATAAACTAAAGCATAGATGCATCAAGAATAGGGTAAATATCTATTTTGGTACCTGAGATTTTGGGTTCAGTTTGGTATCTAAGATTTTCCGACAAAAATTTTCAGTCGTAAAATAATACGCATACATAATTATTTCATGATATGAGATCATTGCTACAGTAACAGGGAGACGCATGACACTCCGAGTGACTTACCTTTAAACGCTATGAAGACAGGACGTCTTCAATATCTCCTCTTTTTTGCCTTTACATTTAACCAAAAACTGTTGCTAAAACCCTTTGATAGTTCTCTGCTATGAGAAAAGTTTAGATTCTTTGAATATTTCACTTTAAGGTACCAGCTGTAAACCATAAAATGTATTATGCATGGGTGTTTTTTTAGGGTAAATGAATAAAATGTATTATGTTAGGATGGGGAGACATTGCAGTCTTCTTGTCTCCCACAATCCCAATTGGAGACGCATAGCGTCTCGTTGTAGTACGTTTTATGAAATAATCCCATATGTGCATTATTTTACGAATTTTTTTCCATATGCATTATTTGAAAAATTTTACCAAGACTTTCCGTTTAGTTAAGTACATATATTTAATTTCTTAGTTCAAATTGATACACGAACTTGATTATTTATTTATTTATTTATTTTAAATTAGCTTAGGATTTTTAACCAATATGAACCAATGAACAAAATTCATGCACCGACTTGAACAAAAAAGTGAATTTAAGATAATTAATTGAACCAAAATAGTTTAGGGTAATCTATGTATTTAGTCACCCAACTATCATTTTAGTTTTATTTTGGTCACGTAACTATTTTTTTCCAAAATCATCACTAACATTACATTTTGGACACCCACCGTTAAAAAATTGACGGTGAGACTGACACGTCATCATGAAGTGGTGTCATGTCATCATTGGAAAACTAGAAAAACACATTAGCAGTTATATTAACTTTTTAATGGTGGGTGATCAAACTGAAACCAAAACGTAATGTTAGTGATGATTTTGAAAAAAAAATAATTGAATGATTAAAACAGAACCAAAATGATAGTTGAGTGACTAAATTCATAATTTACCCCAAATTTTAAATACTAAATTTTATCTTACAACCAAATTAAATTAAAAAATGTGGTATGATTGCTAAGCAACCAACAAGATTAGTTTAGTAAAAGGTGGTCCAAAAATAAACCCTAAATAAACTTAGTAAACGACGTGGGTTATTGCCTATCATGTTCAAAGAATCTACGGAAGAAAAAAGAAAGAAGTGTTGTCTAAAGACGAAGTTCAAAGTACGATGGGAGTATTAATCATGTCTTAGCTTTCCAAAACATTGTTTATCCTTGTCTTTAGATGTTTTGGTTTCCCTAATCATTCTCACATGTTTAATCTTTACACGTAAGCAAAGAGACTACAACCTATATATCCTTTTATTGTAAATAAACTATTCCATGATTTATAAAACAATTATTCATAGGAAACTTTATTTTAATTTTATAAATAATTTATTCTCTTTATTTGTATTAAATTTATAAATAAATATACGTATCAACTCGAAGTCCGGATGGATAACGCGGAAGTGGTGTGCGTGGTGCATAAAGTCTTCCAATTCTTGAAGGGTAATGCTCTTGTAGACTCGGGTTTAATGATCTTCACGATGATTAGGAGATACATATCACAGCAGACCGTAAGGAGCAAAATGTTGTTGCAGACTCTCACAAAATTAAGTCATGGGAAACCTATATGCGAGCTTTTGTTCCACAACCCTCCGATGGTTGCAGATGTTCTTCTTCCAGAAGCTATAAAGAGTGCATAATCGCTAGTCTATGTTTAATTTAATACAATAAACAAGTGTTATAACTAGAAGGATTAATAACAACAAGTAGTAAGCAGTTTGATATCGTTTTAATATGTCTCAAGTTCAAGGTCTTGTGTATGCAGAAAATCATTGTTAGAAGACTCACACACTAAAATTAAGTGTGCGATACAGATCGATCTAAATTAGTCAAGACAAAGTCATGAAAAATTGGAAGAAGAAGGATGGATAACACCTATCTTATTAATATCTAATAAGAGAGTTTACATAATAACTTACTAATAGCTTAATAATTCAATTAAAATATTTTGAGGTGTAGGATTTGCAGAACATTTCCATCTCTCGCTTAGCTTTTAAATATAATTAAGATAAATAACATGAAAACAACACTTTAGCTATTGCATCAAAAGATTGTTCCACGAACAAATTTGATGGGTTCATTTGACATGCCACTGTTCTCATGTCATGATCTAAATTCTAATTGCCATATAAACATCCTTACATTGTATTTTTTTTCTTATTAACCATTGTATCTCAAACTTTATTAACTACTGAAAAATAAATTATTATTTCTTATTGAATTGATTTAGGACACATTTAAGACGTCACATAATAATCGAATTTAGGTGTAATTAAGTATAATTACATTGATGCAACATGTTTCATCAACTATACCATTATAATATGTGAGTCTCGTTAAATTGGATGTCATTGGATACCCTTAATTACTTACACTCCTTAATTATTAAAGGTAAAAAATGATATAATTATATTTAATTTTATAATTAATGTTATTTAAAATTTAAATTTATTCAAGTATAAAACTATACTTTATACTATCAAATATGTCCCTTAACTATGCTTTATTAATCAAATATAATTAAGGTGATTACGATGTAGTATATGTTCATAATCTTTATTTAGTTATTAACAACGTGCACACATATGCATACACAACTGTTTGAACTCAAAATTTTCAGAGAGAAAAATACTCCATTTAACTACTGAAACTACTTAATAGATTCACGTATTATCCAAACCTAAACCTCAATCTCTATATTTATAATTATACCTCAATTAGGACGGACCTAGAGAGAATCAAGTAACCCTAAAAGTTTTAAATTCTTATATAATTTTGATATATTTTTTTATATTTTCAGTTGAAAAACTATTTCTTGTTCCTCTGAAATTTTTATAATTTCATCTCTATTTTAAAATTTTATAAGTTTGTCCCCTTTAACATAAAATATTGTGTCCATCTCGGACCTTAATAAATTCACCATATAAGAAAAGTACTAAATAGTAATTATCAAATAGTAATCCCAACTATTTAATTAAAAATCATAAGCATCATTAAACAAAATCAATTAGCTATAGTTAACTTCTTACTTTAATAAATTAATTTTCAATGGACTAAAAATAAAAGCACAAATGAAATGTTAAAATTAGTCCTCCATTTTTTCTAACAATAAAGCTCCCTCATAACCAGGAGGCTCGGAACCAGGTTGGGTGATAGCCCCCCCCCCCCCCACTTCAATATTAGAGAGAAGACAGATAGAGGAAAATGAGAGAAAGTGAAAGAAAGTAAGAGAAAATCTTTTGAACCCTCCCAATTTTTCTCTATCTGTTTCTCTTAATCGATAGATTCCATACCAATACTAACAAAAATAGAAAATAGGAACAGAAAAGAAGGAAACTACAATAAGAACATAATATTTTTTTGGTTCTCTGTTTTCTTTTTATTATTTTGCTCCGTTTCTTGACAGAGCTTTTTCATCATACAAAAGATTCAAATTATCTTTTTTGAGGGTTTTCGAGATTTGGGTTTTGATGTTAAATGTAGAGAGAATTGAATTTTGAATTGAGCTCGTAAAATCTGTAGTTTTTGGGGGTATTCGAACGCTGTTTTTGGTTGAAATGGCTACTGGGTCGAATCTACAAGGCTCTCTAAAATCGGTTTTCGAAGACGTTCTTCAAGAGAAAAGAAGTCGAACAAGCGACGTTAATTTGGATTCGAGAAAATTCGACGAAGCTTGTAATAATCTAACTTCTTTTTCCCCTTCTGCTCTATTCATCATTGAATGATCAATGGTTTTCTTTACTGCATTTTTCTTGCATGATTAGGATTCTTTTGTATTTCTTTCTTGTTTTTTTTTTATCAAATTTATGTTTCAGATTTTATGGATGTTATGTCAAGAGATTCAATCATAAAATATGTATCTCTGTGTAATTTTTTTATTGATTAAAACAATCTCCAAACAAATGGGAAATGTGATTTGTTGAAACTTCGTTTTCTTGGTTAATTTCCCCGCGTAAAATACGCTCTAAACCAATCGCCATTGTAATATTTTCGAAGCTTTAAGAAGAAATGAAGCTGCTGGATGGCTGAGAAAAACAATTGGTGTCGTTGGGGGCAAAGATTTACCGGCTGAGCCTTCGGAGGAAGAATTCAGGTACGCATTGCGGAGTGGGATAATACTTTGTACTGCTCTTAACAATATCAAACCGGGATCAGTACCAAAGGTATGCTTCAGAAACAATTTTCCCAGAAAATTTTGCATTTTCTCAGTTAATTTTCCTACCCAATTTTTTTAAATTCCAGGTGGTGGAAGGACCTTGCGACTCTGTTACCGTTCCTGATGGAGCAGCTTTATCTGCATTTCAATACTTTGAAAATGTGAGAAACTTCCTTGTAGCTATTGAGGAAATGGGGATTCCCACTTTTGAGGCCTCTGATTTAGAACAGGTTAGTATATTACTTACATTCTTCATTTCAATTTCTCCCCTACTCGTGTTTAGGGATAGACGCATGATTGAATGTAAGAGGAGACAAATGTTCTCGATTAATTTTTAATTTTTCCAGGGTGGGAAATCTTCAAGGCTTGTGAACTGTGTTTTAGCATTGAAGTCTTACAGTGAATGGAAACAAAATGGTGGAATTGGTTCATGGAAATACTCTGCAAATGCCAAACCCTCATGTTTTGGGGCACGAAAAACCAGTGAACCATTTATGACTTCCGTTTCCACAACGACCCTTCCTAGTGACTCGTCTAGTGAGCAATCAGAGTCCATTGAAGAAGTTAGTGAGCTTTCTTTTTAACATTCATGCTACTTGTTTATTTCATTAAACATCTAATCTGATATCTCCTTTTCATTGTTATCTTCAGGGATCTGGAAATTCTTTTGGTGTTCTAGTTCGTGCAGCTCTTTCGGATAAGAGGCAAGAAGAAATTCCAATGGTAAGATCCTTCTTCTGGTACAGAAATTTAGGACGACCGATTCACTTTTTTCGGGATCGAATCGAGGTCTTGAGAAATGTCGAGTTATTCAACAACTTACTAGGAAAAATTTTGTTGCTGGTTATTAACAGATTGTGGAAACTATGATTAATAAAGTGTCGGAGGAGTTTGACCGTCGCTTGGCAACCTACAGTGAACTTGTGAGAAGCTTTAGTTCTTCACGACTCTCAAAAGTTGAATGATTTGTTAGTGTTATCTCAAATAAACATGTTTTGTTGTAATTTGACAGATTAAAATTAGTGCAAAAGCAAAGGAAGAATCTGTAACTGATATCTCTCTTTCACGAACAGTTTCATTTGATGAAAAGGTAGGCGGAATGTTTATCAGTAGCTTTTGATTATTGCTTCATGCGATTATCAAGTACATGCTTTTGAATCATTTAAATAATGTGATGGTGAAGGCCAGAGTAGTTGAAGTAAAGGCATCAGCTGAAGAAGTGTTGAAGGCTGGAGTAGTTGAAGTAAATGCATCAACTGAAGAAATGGTTGAAGATGATGAATCATCATCAATAGGGTCGGAGGGAAAGGAAATTTGCGAAGATGAATCATCATCAATTGGGTCGGAGAGAAAGGAAACTTGCGATGACAAGTCTGATACTAATGAAGAATTGGTACAATATGTTTTGAGACAGCAGGCATTGGTTGGGCAACAAAGACGATTTATTGAGGTAATTATCAGTTAGCATCGATTCTAGTTACAGAATTCGTATGATCTTCCGTGGGGATGCTGTAGTTCATGTATTTGTACCTGTAGGAACTGAAGCATTGTCTTTATTCAACAAAAGCCAGTGTGCAAGCTCTGCAGATGACATACCAGGAAGAGGTCTTCAATCTGGGTATAAACTTAAAATTGATTTCTCGGTTTATTTTACGAGTTCTTGAAATGAAAATGTGATATTGTCTCATTCTAGCTTCGTTTAATAGGTAAACACTTGGTTAGTCTTGCTAATGCGGCTTCGGGATATCAGAGAGTTCTCGAAGAAAACCGAAAGTTGTACAACCAAGTGCAGGATCTGAAAGGTAGCAGTCATAAACAGTTGAAATATTCTGATTGAGAGAATTTGTCAGATTCAAATGAAAATATGAATTGGATCTGTTGGAAAACCATGTTCCAGGGAATATAAGAGTGTACTGCCGCATAAGGCCGATGATGCCCGGACAATCGAACACTTTATGTTCCATAGATCACATTGATGAAAGAACTGTAACAATTCTTACACATTCAAAAAACGGAAAAGAGGCAAGGAAATCGTATACTTTTAACAAAATATTCGGCCCAACTGTAACACAAGGTTAAAGATTCAAAACATAGTTGTTTCCTCTATGATTTTGCATCTATCCATTTCAATCTTTCGCAGCTTGTAAGACTGTCCTGACATGAACTCCTTCCCTGCAGCCGAGGTTTTCTCTGATACCCAGCCTTTGATTCGGTCTGTTCTAGATGGTTACAATGTGTGCATATTTGCTTATGGACAAACAGGATCAGGGAAGACTCACACCATGGTAAGAAATGCAACATCTTTTCATTGCAGTGATAATCTATGTTAATCAGACTAAGGGTTGAGCGTCGGAGATGGTGTATATTCAATGTGTTGACATGAATACCTTGCCGAAAATTAAGTCTAGGGATACATACCGTATTGTAGCCTGTCAAATATTTATGTTAGTTCATCTCATTGATGAATCCAGATAGGGCCGAAGGAGCTCACCGAAGAAGGTTTAGGCGTAAACTACAGGGCATTGAGTGATCTATTTCATCTTTCAAACCAGAGGAAAGACACCATTTCCTATGAGATTTCAGTGCAAATGCTTGAAATTTATAATGAGCAAGTCAAGGATCTCCTTTCAACTGATGGTGGAAATAAGAGATATCCTTTATATTCAAAACTATAAATCTTGTTTATTGTGATTCATGTACTTTTTCTTTTAATAATTTCTTTAACTCCTATGTACATTAGAAATCCGAAACAGCTCACAAAATGGGATTAACGTACCTGATGCAAACCTTGTTCATGTATCGTTACCGTCCGACGTCATAAATTTGATGGACCTTGGGCATAAAAACCGTTCAGTTTGCTCCACAGCGTTAAATGACCGGAGTAGTCGATCTCACAGGTACTGCAGACAGTCTAAAAGATTTTATAGTTAAGTTCTGAAACATATGCTGCTAAACTGTTTTAAAACTGCAGCTGCTTGACAGTTCATGTTCAGGGGAAGAACCTCACATCGGGAAACATTCTTCGTGGCTCAATGCATCTGGTTGACCTTGCAGGAAGCGAAAGGGTGGACAAATCCGAGGTGACGGGAGATAGTTTAAAAGAAGCACAACACATCAACAAGTCTCTTTCGGCTTTAGGAGATGTGATATCTTCTCTTGCATCAAGAAGTTCACATGTTCCTTATAGAAACAGTAAACTTACTCAATTGCTCCAAGATTCACTTGGTAAGAAGATTATCCAAAAACTTTCCAACTGACAAACAGTACTGCAATTGTAATTACTGAATCATGCCATTGGAATCAATTTATCAGGAGGACAAGCCAAGACACTGATGTTTGTTCACATTGCTCCCAAGTACGAAGCTCATGGAGAAACTCTTAGTACACTTAAATTTGCAGAAAGGGTTGCCACAGTCGAGCTCGGTGCCGCTAAGGTGAACAAAGACAGTGGAGAAGTGAAAGAGCTTAAAGAACAGGTCTCTCCCTGATCTCCCAGTCTTTCTTTTGGCATTTAAACTTCAAAGCGTTTCATGGCCGCCTATTGCAGCCAAACCTGTACTTATATTTACTCTTTCACTATTTTGCAAACATTCTCATTTACCATTTTTTCTCAACTGTTTTCAGATAGCTAGTCTCAAAGCAGCCTTAGCGAGAAAGGAAGGAGATCGCGAGAACCTGCAACATACTCAATCCCTTAGTCCAGAACGAAATAGACCAAACATCGGATTATCCCCTTCTCATCCTAAATGGAAGAGTTCAAGTGATCTATCTTGCATGTCTGCAACCACTGAGGTATTGTTTAAGTGCCAAAATTGGTACAAATTTTCAGTTTCGAAAGTGTTTTACTATAGGTCCTTTTATGTTTGTTTAAGATTTGCCTAACATGATGTATACATTTGCCTCTGCTGATTCAGTATGAGTCTTCATCGGCATCTAGAAGAGACAGTTTGGATAGTCGAGAGATGTTAGCGAATCCATCTAGAAGAGACAGTTTGGATACTCGAGAGATGTTACTGAATCCACCTAGAAGAGACAGTTTGGAGACTCGAGAGATGTTAACGAATCCACCTAGAAGAGACAGTTTGGAGACTCGAGAGATGTTAACGAATCCATCGCATTGGCCACCTATTGGCAGTCTGAATGATTCGAGTGTTTCAAGAGACGAAGATAGAGATTCGGAAGCGTCTGGTGATTGGGTAGATAAAATCATGGTGAACAAACTTGACAACATAAAGAAGGACAAAAATCCATCAGCAAAACCAAGTAAAGGAGTAAGCAATGGCAAAAAACTGACTCAGAAGCCCCATCAGAGTCAACTCCCTGAGCCTACAAAGATACACCCTGAACAAAACTTAAACAAATCAACTACAAACAAAAAGGGCAACCAAGACTATGATCTGCAAAGGACTCGGTCCGAAGTAAGCTGTAACGAAGAATCCGATCGTGAAACAGTAATCAGTGATTTTTTGGAAACGGACTCATTTTCATCCGGTATTCCTAAAATCAGTGGTATTCCGACCCTGTTGGCATCTAAACCAAAGAAACAGCAACCCAAGCCAGCTAAGACCACAGAAATCAGGTAAACATTGATGCTAGAAACTGATTGCCTTTTTATTTTACTGCAAACTTCAGCTTGGTTTCTACTACATTTAGGCATTGATTTTTATTTTTCTTTGTTTCCATCCAGGACTTCAATTCCATCACTAATACCTGCACCATCAACTCGGAAACCTTCCACTGGAGTTAATCCGAGTCTGCAAAAGGGAAAGCGAAAAAACGGAATTAACAAGTGATTTAAACTGAATTTGATTGTTTCTTCTGTGTCTATCAGTTAGTTGCATTGACAAGGAGAGGTTCACATATATGAAATTAATGGCAAAAATTCCCAGTGTTCAGTGGTGGTAAAATCATTCCTATAAACCCTATATGAGTTTTGTATTTTGTTCAAAGGAGCGTGGATTTCGGGAATTCCTTGCCTTTTATTTTCTCCATTCCCCCTTCATATTGTACTTTATTGTAGAATTGTGGAGGAATTGTATTATATTCAAGTACACCTTTTTCTTCTGGCATTGATAACATTCTATTATACAACTCGTCTCTTATGATTTGATCAAATCATTGAAGATTGAAGATCCAAGAAGTTATGCTTGATAAGCTTACATGAACTGATGCATTACAACTAGAGGTGCACAAAAAATCCGAATATCCGATTTTACGCAAAAAATATCCGAAATCGGATTTGGGAAAAACCGATTTTTTTAAACTGGATCGGATATTTTAAAACTGGATAGTATAACCGGTTTGGGAAAAAATTGGACGACCGGATTTTTTACTGGATTAAAAACCGGTTTGAAAAAAACCCGGATAAAAAACTAATTTTTTATCCGGAAAAAATTCGGTCTGGGATTTAAAAATCTGGTATGATGTTTAAAATATTAGATGACCGGATTTTTTACCGGATTAAAAACCGGTTTTTTTCAAACCGAAACCGGTTACACCGGTTACATAATCTGACCCTCCAAACCGGTTATGATCCGAACCGGTTTTTTTATAAACCAATTTTTTAGCTTAGTGAAAAAACCGGATCGATTTTTATCCGATCCAGATCGAATTTAAATCCGGCTATATGCATCTCTAATTACAACTGCAGAAGTGGGAGTGGTTTTAATTTATTCCGATTCTTCATTTTATTGTATACAGAAAATATACTTTTTAAGGACCCTTTGATATTCCATTAATTAATGTCCATTAAAGAGAAAACAATTATTAAACCATTGAGCAACTTTAATTGTAGAAGAGTGTTGTTCTCCAGATCTTGGATTTGAACAATTACGTCTGTAGAGTGTGGGCGTTATCGACGGTTATAATCACCCGTCTATTAAGAAAAACAATTATAAGGAATCATCATCTCTCATTCAAGTACAAAGAAATACACAAGCAAGCAATGAAACGAATGAAGTACAAAGTAAAAATTGCATTTATTATGAAAAATAAATTAGAATTATAAAAAAGTAAAAAATCCAAAAAGATTAAATATTTTTTTTACTAATTTATCCAAGAAAGAGAGAACCGACTGCAAAAGAAATTAATTACTGCCTGCAACTCTACAAACAACAACAACAATATTGCATGATTGTATTAATTAAAACTACAAGTAATATGAGTATCAATTAAGTAATAATAACGTAAGATTATGCAATAATTTGGCCATTCGTTCACTGCTAATCATTTAGACATGCTAAGAACACCTAATTTTATACATTTTGTTCCATACAAATATGAGATTACACATTTCAATTACTATAGAAATATATCTAATCTCATACTTATCTTTGTACCTGATCAGCTGTCTAATTGCTTGTGGTAGATGATGATGTCGTCCGACCATTCACCACACTGTTATCCATCGGTGGTGGATTCACTCCCCATTTACCTTCAGATTCAGATGGCTCCATCGGTTTCACAGTTCCATCGCTCAGCCCGATTGCAAATTGGTTTGCGTCCATCGGATGTGCAGTTACCACTAGTGGACTTACGGCTTGTTTTCTGTAAACCAAACAGTAGAAATAATGAATGTTTAATCCAAGTTCATGCAGAACTTTGAATGGAATACAACCGACAGATTTATCGGTCTGAGCATAGTAGATGATAATGCCGGTACAGGTCCCATGCAGTTGAATAGAATCCAACAGACAACTTACCCTTTTAGGAGTGCTGGAGATAAGTAGACTGATGAAGCAATATGGCATCTAAGCCTCATGCTATCGGCATCAAATACCCCGATATTACCATCATAAAAGGCGGCATAAACGAATTGGCTATTACAGGAGTATGCTGCATACTTTATGGGCGCAGACAGTACATCTTGAGGAATCCACTGCAGCAAATAAACATCATTAGTAAGTGTTCCTCTGTCAAAGCAAAACTTTATATCATCAAAACCTATGCCATTTTTTTCAGCTTTCCTACCTGTTGAATGCGCACCATCTTTGAGGCGTCATATATTGCTAACTGTGTTACATGAACTACCAGCATGCGAATTTGATCAGAGTGAAATTGTACCCGTGTTTCACAAGTAGGTGCTTTTACAGCTGGGATTTGGATTGCAACTGATTTCCTTTTCTCCCACGTATCAATGCTCCACAACACAGCTGCAGAGAGTAGCAAGATTTTAATAACATCACTTACATGAGACCTTTCCTTCATCCCTGTTCCCGTCTCTGCCGGTCAGTAATATGACCATGACATTGTTTCGTAAATAAAAATTGTAGCAGTTCTTAACCAGATGAAGGAAGAAAGCATGAACATAATAAAAATGGGAAAAATACAACCCTCAAAAATAAATTGAATAGATAAAAATGTGTAATACATATCGGAGATGATGGAACTTGAGAAACACCGAGGAAATCAAGTTGAAAAGCCAACTAATAAAATCAGTTTATCTTTTCTGTTTCTTGATTACCTTAAATTTTGTGTCATTTATACCCAATAAATAAGTTAAGAATAAAATAAATATGACAAGCTGTGATACCACTTACATGAGCATCAGCACCTGACGAAACCAAGATATTGAGGCTGGTTGAAAAGGCCAAACCAGTTATTCGCTTTTGATGACCTTTCAACTTTGATTTCACCTAAAAGAAAAAAATGAAGTTGAACCATACTAGACAGGAACCACTTAAGGGAGAAGGATAGTACAAGGGGAAGAAGAAAAGTATATGTCAAAGGAGTTGGGAAGTGTCACCTCAGCTACCCGAACATTGTAAATATGGATAGTTGAATCCTCCATTCCAATCGCAATGATATTATTATCCTGAGGATGGAATGCTAAGAAGGTTGAAGCTGGAGGGGGAGACATGAATGTTGTCATTACCTGCAAATCATGTGTTATTAGGAACCAAACATAATGTACATTCAACATGCAGGAACGTGGAGGCATACCCTGAAAGTCATCAAGTTAAACAAAGAAACTTTTCCCCCAGTGGCTGACAGTACATATGAATCGTTCTTTGAGACTGCTATGCATGGTACCGCTTCTTCCAAGTTTACACCTATGACATCATTAGTCATAAGACCACTGTTTGGTTGCCAATGGTGCGGAACGACATTGGCAGTGGCCTTTGAAGTTTAAAGGACTTCAGAGTTCATGGCAACAAAAAAGAATTTTATAAAGTAAATGTCAAAAACAAAAGAAACCGATCTGTTTCAAGAGAAAGTGTTGTACTTTTACGGAAGGATTCTGTTCATTATGGAGCCACTTCCATAGCTTCTGAACACCATTTGACCCAAGAACCAAAATACCATTGGCATTATTTGTATACAAAAGCCGAACAACCTTCAAAGAGATGCAATGATTCAATGCAAAATGGTATAAAACATGAAATAAACCTGATTATTTGAATAAAACTAACCGACCTTGCTGGAGCTATGCAATGATTCAATGCAAAATGGTATAAAACATGAAATAAACCTGACTATTTGAATAAAACTAACCGACCTTGCTGGAGCTATCTGTGCTGTCAGGTAAAGTAACTAGTCGACATTGAGCAGGATCCACAATTTCAACCAACTGCCAAGGTTTAGTCTTGTCTACTGCATCATCCAGAACTCTTGACTTTTCAACACTTCTAACTAATGGACCAACTCCGTGCTTGGGGGGAAACCAATCCAAAACAATAAAATCAATTGCAACGAGAACATAACCATGAAAAGAACTTAAAAACCTAGAGGTCTATTGGAATTATATACAGCCCACTTGGTTCCACTGAAAGCACAACATCTTCCTTATTGCATGAAAAGAAAAATTAAAGGTAGCACCTGTAAGTTTCGAAAGAGTTTCCCATTAGCCTAATCTCCTAAAATGTTAGTGGCATAATAATAAACCATACAGTAACAGCAAGAAGCGAACTCCAACCAACTACCATATAATATTCAGGAAAAAAGTTCAATCATGAAGCAAAGAACATCCAAGCTAATTTACGAGTACAGAAGAAGGCCCGACAGGAGAGTTCCGTTCCACCTTACCACTGGCAGAACTAACATTTGCAAGTGCAGAAGAGCCTGAAGCCTAAACCAATGGAGAAAAAGAGAAAACCTGCAGGCCGATCTCAATACATGAATATTCTTAAGGGAACATTAAGCAAACCAAAACTATGATAACCTTAATAGCAGCAGAAGCAATGGGTTCTCAATGGATCAAAAGATGATGTTTCAACTGCTCTTAAAGATCTGAGACCCACAGCATTCGCAAGTATCTTAAATCCACTGTCTGTTGTTGTCACAGTAGGGAGATTTCCTTCCTTATTGAATCTCACACGGGGAAGACTGAAGAAAGTAACATGATTAATTAGGCACCCAATTTAATAGCATATATGTTTCATAAAAAGCTCCCAAACTTGATCATTTAACTTACGGGGAGTCCACCCTCGGCATCTGTGAAAGTGAGAAGATTGATGTTATCCATGTCCCAAAACTTTATCTGGCTGTCTTCTCCTGCAGCCAAAAAATGATTTTGTGTTGTGTCGAAAGACACAACACCCGCTGATTTCTTCCTAAACCCAACATAAGTCCTCTTTATCGCTCCTTCACTTTCATTCCACTCAACCAGAAAAGATTCTCCATCTTTACTTGTTCCACAAGAGAACAATCTGAAGCGGTAGTAGAAATTAGTAGAAGTTCAAAATTAATGAATTACATGTAAAACTCGACTGAAAAAAATAAATAAAAGCATTCATTATAGGGAAAGCAATTTTTCCGCAGAATGAGGGTAATTAGTTCTTAACAGGAAATTGCTAAAATCCCTATTTTAAATTCATGATCATACCTACTTCCATCAGCACTGTAGAGCATAGTAGTACACCAGTGACCTGGGGGATCATA